TGCCATGTTTTTCCTGGCAGTGTGGACCCGCTCTCCCTGCGGCTGTGTGGCAGCTTTTCTAGCTCAGTCCCCAATACCCAGCTTAGGTAGCCCATTCTGCTGCTGTCTCTCTTTCGAGGCTTGACCATTTGACCTCAAACCAAGCCACTGCACAGGTTTAGGAGAAGAGAAGATGTATCAGGTGCATAGAACCTTATCCTCCACCTGCTCCTCAGACACAGGGACATCCCTCAGACACAGTCACCTCAGGAGCTTACAGGGGTCCATAGGGGCTTTGCATGTCGAAGGTAGTTGGTGTTTCTCTGAACAGAGGGGAGAACTGCAGATAACTATGGGTGGAGAGGATAAGTTGGCGATGAAACAGATAGGGCTTATTTAGGGCTGTTTTGTCAGCCACTGAAAGCTGGTTTGAATGATCTGAGTTCTCCATAGAGTCCTGCTGCTACCCAGCTGTGTGGCTTTGGGCAAGCCACTTTGTCTCTTTGATAATGAGGGAGTTGATCCCTAAGCATTTGCAATTCCAAGCTTTCCCAGGTTGCCATTGCTCCAGCTGGGCAAGAAGGTTGACTTTGAAAAAGAGGAGACCTCTGGGTTTTTCTAGCTGGCTAGAGTTCCTGGCTGAGTTCCCAAGGGTCTTCAGTCAGTCACCTGGTCAGATGACCTGTGTTCTCTAGGACCTCTGGGAGCACAAGTTCATACCAACAAGGTCCAGCCAGTGTCCCCTCTGAGTGGACCCCTCTTTTACATACAGTCTTCTTGGTGCATTGTATTAGTTCCCCATTTGCTTCTGTAATATATTGCCACACATGTAGTGACTTGCAACAATACAAATTTCTTAACTTACCGTTCTGGACATCAGAAGTACAAAATCCATCTCACTGGGCCAAAGTCAAGGTGTTACCCGGCTGGTTTCTTCTGGAGGCCCTAGGGCCCAGGTGGCAAACACAAGCCCTCAGGGTGAATCTGGCCCTCCACCTTGTTTTATCCAGTCAGGTACCTTGTTTCTGCCCAGTGGCAGCCCTGAGCTCTCACTTAACTGTCAGGAGTAGTTACATTGACACAGTCCTAAAATTACATTTGGCCCTTTGAAGGCAACCGCTGAGGCAGATGTGGCCCCCAGTGGAAATGAGTTTCACACCCCTGCCCTAGGGGGAAGTTTATTTCCTTACCCTTTTCAATTTCTGAAGGCTTCCTGCATTTCCTTGGCTCAGGGCCCCTGCCTCCACCTTCAAAGCATCTTCTCTCCTCTCTGACCTCTGCTTCCCTCCCAATATCATCTCAGCCTGATTCCATCCTCCTGCCCCTGTTTTATAGGGACTCTTGTGATTGCATCGGGCCCACCCAGATAATCTGGGATAATCTCTCCATCTCTTGCTCCTTAATTTAATCACATTGACAAAGTCCCCTCTACAGTGTAAGGTGACATTTTACAGACTCTGGGAAGTAGGATGTGGATATCTTTGGAGGCCATTATTCAGCCTATTACGGGGATTATCCCTGAATTAAAAAAACCTAGACTTGGATGGGGGAGGAGGGTGTATTGGAACTCCTGCTTTGGAATGCATAATTACAGACAGTCCCCTAGGTGGGTGACTGTAGGCAATTGCAGTGTAAGCTGTGTACAATTCAAAACCTATTAGCTTTCTGGGTATATTTAGATTCTTCTTTTCCAATTGTGTCAGAGCCTTTATCCACAGAAATGTATGTATACTCTCAAAAGAGGTGTCCATATCTCCTTAAAACCACCAGGTTCTGATGAGCCACCTCGTTATCTTCCTTCTTCATTCTGTTCGTGACAGTTACTGAGTGTCCACCACATGTAAGACAACGTGCCAGGGGAATCCGCAGTCCCCAAGATGTGCTCCTTTCCCTCGTGGAGCTCCTGTCCAGTGGAGGGAGGAAGGCACATACACAGTTATTTTTGACACCAGACAGGATGTGCCAAGTGATGTAACAGTGATGAACCCCAGTAGTGGGAAGAGAGGAGGGCGACATCACTTCTAGTCCCTAGAGTGTCAGATCATGTTCCCCGATTTTCGGTTCAACGTTATGATTGCTATAGCACCTCAGTGTTAGGTCATTAACTCTTGTGGGCTAAAAATTTTAGGACTTTTAAAAGATGGGATGATGCGTCTTTCTCCTTATCTAAGGGTTCTTGTTGCTAAAGAGGTAACTAGCTCTGATGATTCACGTGAAATCGCTTCTACTCAAGGTTGGTTAAAGTTGGAAACAATAAGAATTTGCTGGGCAAAGCAGAAGTTGAGAAGAGAATGGTCTTATTCACGCTGGATCTGAACGGGTAACCTGTAAGCAGGGCTGTACTCGGACCAGCACTTGCTTGCCAGGGGTGACCCGCAAACGCCCAGCGAGGCTGGCTTTCCTAGTTGGAAGGGCGGGCCTTGCTCGCGTGTCCTTGCAGAGGTGAAGGAGGATCTCCAGCAAGAGCTCCTTCCAGCTCAGAACACAGTTTTAGAAAATACAGCTGACTTCTCCTGGAAGAACAAAGCCAACCTCTCCTTACTCTGGTCATGGAAACCAAGTTGGCACCTCATTATCGCCTTGTTAGCAAGGGACAGGCTGCTTCTAGGACAAACCTGGGAGGGAGGGTTGGCTCTGTGTGGGCAGGGTTTTGCGGTAAGCTTAATTGCTTTTCTAAAGCTCAGCTACTTAATACTACACAAGCAGAAATCTATCATCAGACTCTTGACCATCCTCCTCTTCCTTTCATATTCTCGCCTACGCAGACAATTAGTGCCTCCCCAGCCCTGCTGACGCTACCCGCCGCCATGGTTTGTGCCTGGGCCCCACTGGGGCCACCTCGGCTGTGCTGCCGTCAGCACATCCAGGGGGAGAGAAGGTCTTTAAGCACCTTTAACCTAGAACGCCCAGGCCCCCAGTATTGTGGGATGCTGCCAGCTCCTTCCGCCTTTGGAGCACAGCAGGGCTGCAGGCTGAGTGAAGGTGGTACGTCTTGAACGACTCAGAGCCAATTCTTATTTCTCACAGAAGGGGAAATAGTAACCCACAGTCATTTTTCTCTGGCTCTGAAATGTGTTTTGTATGTGCATTTGAACATGGGTGTGCCTGATGTTCTGAGAGCTCACTTCAAACACAACAGTGAGGCCGCCAGCCCCTGAGACAGACTCGAAGAGGGCTGAGAAGCTGCCTGCTTAACCACCGTTCTCTCCTTTTTAAAGCCTGCCTGGCATTTGAACCCCATGTCTCTGTTCACTCATCATGAGTCTTTGCAAGGAGGTCACCCAATTTCTCTGAGCTTTAGGTTCTTGCCCTGCATAACTGGGATGAAAATTTCCTACCCTCTCGGACCGATGGAGAGATCAAATGAGATGATGTAGGGTAGTTAAAGCACTGGACACAATAGCGTTGCAGTCAGTGGGAGACGCTCTCCCATTCGCCTTCTTCCCTATGACCTCCGCACCTCCTCTGGCCTCCCACCATTTCCTTAGACCAATGCAAAATGCCACCTGAAGCAGAAGCTTGCTTTCCTCAAAGCAAGTGTCTCCGACGGGGGAGAGAAGTGACACGCCACACACTTCCCACATCTCCCGTCATTTTCTGAACCGCGCCCACTGCCAGCCTCTCTCCTTTGTTTCGTCATCATCAGACTTACTCTGCAGAACCTATGACAGAGGACACCTTGTCTGAAGTTCCCCAGATTTGTAGTTTCTCCTCCAGACTTCGGTAGGCATGCTCAGTGTACAGCCGGGGTTGTCTACGGTAACCCATGTGCAGTCCCATTCTTCCCACTCAGACGTCCTGGGAATTCCAGTTCATCAACTTCCCAAACGTATTTCCCGATTACACCCAATCCCCAAAATGGACGTGTAAGACCCAAGAAATATGGCCTTACAAGGGCCCTGATTGTGGTAACCACATCTCCGGGGCTTTCTGGGAGAGTCTGTTCCCTCATGCGTCCTGAACTTTGGCTCAGACAACAGCACACTCAACCAGCAGAGGTCCCGTGGAAGGCTCGCATTCAGAGAGACCACCACTGTGGTGAGATTCAGTGCACGCCCACCACGGCCTATGACCTCAAATTCAGATCCTTCTCCTGTGAACTTCCGGTGGTTCTTCGTGCTGGTTGGGTTTGGGAGTGGACTGAAGGGAGCCTGGTTCTTGCTGCTTTTTTGTGGATGTGAACTAAGGATGGAGATGAAAATGTGTTTGGTGCAAATATACACAATTCCTTCTGTCTACGATTTTAAAGCCTGCTTTTTGCACTTAATATTAGAGTATATGGATTTTCTCAGGTCACTCATTTTTTGAGGGGGTGGTAAATAATGACCTTACCAATTCAAGACAATGTTTGTCACTAGCATTGATGGGGGTCGGGATGGATGGGGAGAGTGGACACCCAAGGAGCATTTCCTGTGTGGAATGTGTTCTGCCTTAAGCTTGGTGCCACGTACAGTTTTTTGAATGTTTTAAATATTACATAGTGAAGTAGGAATTTAAACACCAGTATAAAGGTCTGCTTAATATTTTACTCTGTAGCTATCTCATAATTCACTCGGTTTAAAACTCCCCTCCCTGTTACTGGATATTTGTAATTCTCAACTATGGACTCTTAAATAATGGAGCACTCTTAAACACCTTTGAGCATCAAGCTGTGTGTGACTTTGTAGCTCACTTTCTCAGGACGGATTCCAAGCACTGAACTACTGGGTCAATGTACGCGGCTCTGGGGTGTGCACGTCACATGGCTGCCTTTCAACACATACGCTTCTTTCTAGTGGTTTTAGCTTCTATCTCTTTGATTGTCTGTGAGATTGAACATTCTTTACATAATAATTTTCTGTTGCTGTTTTATTTTTAATTGATGTGTGTGTGTGAGCACAGGTTTTTGCAGACTCATTTATCTGTGGGGTCCTGTGGGAGGGTCTTGTTTACATGGGGGGGGCTGTGGATGAGCACAGCAAGAGCCCCCTGGCCTCCTTGGGGAAAACCAGCTTTGCATCTCAACCTCTGTCTTCCTGCAGTGCCGCCAAGCTTCTGGACAAGAACCCGTTCTCCGTCAGTAACACGACCCCTCTGCTTCCTTCGCCTGCCAGTCTCCAACTGGCTCAACTGCAGGCCCAGCTCACCCTCCACCGGCTGAAGTTGGCACAGACAGCTGTCACCAACAACACTGCAGCCGCCACGGTCCTGAACCAAGTCCTCTCTAAAGTGGCCATGTCCCAGCCTCTGTTCAACCAGCTGAGGCATCCGTCTGTGATCAGTGCCCCCCACAGCCATACCGGGGTGCCCCAACATGCTGCAAGTGTGCCCACTGCCCGGTTTCCCTCTGGTACAATTGCCTTCTCACCCCCTGGCCAGACTCGAGGTCCAGGCCCCTCCGTGAGCCTCCCCAGTCAGCCCCCCAATGCCGTGGTGGTGCATCCCTTCAGCGGTGTCATGCCTCAGACCCCCGCCCAGCCTGCGGTCCTCTTGGGCATTGGCAAGACTGGGGCAGGTCCCTCGGCAGGATTCTACGAGTACAGCAAAGCCCCATCCAGCCAGGCATACGGCTCTGAAACGGATGGTCAGCCCATCTTCCTGCCAGCCTCGGCCTCTGCCTCGGGCAGTGTGGCCTACGAAGGGCCCTACAGCCAATCAGGACAAGAGGGCCAAGCCGCCTTTCCCAAAGACTTCTATGGAGCCAACTCCCAAGGGTCGCATGTGGCAGGCGGGTTTTCAGCTGAGCCAGCTGGGGCCCTGAAGGGTGAGGTAGGTCCACTTCTGCAGGGTCCAAACAGCCAATGGGAGAGCCCGCACGGATTCTCTGGCCAGAGCAAGCCCGATCTCACAGCTGGCCCCAGCCTGTGGCCTCCACCCGCCAGCCAGCCCTACGAACTGTATGACCCCGAGGAGCCCACCCCGGACAGGACCCCTCCTTCCTTCGGGGGTCGGCTAAACAACAGCAAACAGAGTCTCAGCGGTGCACGGCGCCGGGCCAAGGAGGAGCAGGCAGCACTGTCCGTGCGGCCCCTGCAGCCTCAGGAGCTGAACGACTTTCACGGGGTGGCCCCCCTCCACCTGCCACATGTCTGCAGCATCTGTGACAAGAAGGTATTTGATTTAAAGGTGAGTCATCCAAGACCATCTAGGAGCCACCGCTGGAACCTGGGCGGGCTCACCACCACCACTCGATTCTCGCTGTTTGTAGGCAAGAAACTGGTATATTTGGGGATTGGGTAACAAAATGTTGCCATCTCTAACCTCGATTAACATCATAGGTATTAGAACCAAAAGGAATTTCGGAAATATACTAGGGCCACTCCTTTGCTTTAAGGCAAGTAAGAAATTCTTATCCACATGTATAGCTGAGAAAGCTGTGGCTGAGTGGGGGGACCAAATGACCCCACCAGGGTTACGGAGAAGGGACTTGGGAACTAGAATCTCCCCCCTCCTAGGTGAAGACTTTTCCTTTGTGGTACGTGTAGAAGTTACTGTTCCTGGAGCACATATATTATGCTTAAGTTTGAAAGGGGAGAAAATGCAACCAGGATTTTGGATCAGAGGTGAGAGAAAAATTCTCAGGTAGGATCTAGACACATTACCGTAGAGGGTCTCAACGTCCCCTCTGCAAAAGGCAGATGGAGCTTCATGACACTTCCCAGTGGTGGTAGATGCTTCAGCCCCGGCACACAAGGGCCCGTTATAGTATGAGTTTCTGCTCTAGAATGTATGGATGATGCAGTGAAGTATTTCAAAGCAATTATAACAGCGAACATATATTAAAGCCTTTTCTGGATGTCAGCAGTAACTCTCCACAGGTGACACTATTAGTATTCTCACTATACAGATGTAAAAATTGAGGCCCAGAGAGACACAGTGATTTGTCAGGGCCCCATAGCTAGAAAGCAGCAGAGTGGAGATTTGCATGAGTGTGCTTCTTGAGCTATACCGCCTTCTGTCTCCCTTCTCATCTGCATTCATAATGATCCCTACTTAAGTGACCCCTATGTAGTGGGAGTCATGCTACATTGTCATTCCCCTCTGCGTGGTCCCCTGGTGCAAGTGCATCTTGTCCCTCAGGAAGGACATACCTCCTCACTTCCAGTCTCTGGAGGGGGCTGCCTGACATAAGAGGTGATAGAGGACTCTGCCTCCTAAGGCTTTGCAGCTCACTGTCAGTGCACCTGCCAGATTCTCCCGCCTGAGTATGGGAATGGGGCTAAGGGTCCAGCCAGAGGGAAAGAAGGAATTAGGTTTGTGAATCGGGGCTCCTGTCCAAGATGGGCACGGGCCGTGTACGTAAAGCCAACAGCATGAGGACTGCGTGGAGAGCAGGAGCTGATCAGGGATCTGGAAGGGAGAGGAATGGGGGGTGGGGAGCAGGGAGATGCAGCTGCAGGGCTGGTCCGGCCTCTGGGGGCACTGAGCTCCCAGCCTGGCTGCAGAAGCCTGCACTCATGCCCTGCCTTCCTGTGGACTCAGTTCTGCTTCTGTCATTTTTCTTTCCTTCCGGCCTAGGACTGGGAGCTGCATGTGAAAGGAAAACTCCATGCTCAGAAATGCCTGGTCTTCTCTGAAAAGTGAGTGCTGCCCAGCAGAACAGGTTCCCGCCTGCACCCAGCAAAGATTCGTCAAGCACCTACTGTATGCCATGCTTTGTTCTAGGTGCTGGGGAAACAGCAGGGGACAATACAGGCACAGTCCCTGTCCTCAAGGAGCTTACACTCAATGGGGGATCAAATGTAAACAAAATAAACAGTGAATTATGTAGCGCCCCAGGTGGCGAATGCTGAGCAGAAAGCAATGGCAAGGCGTGGGCAGAAAGAGTGTGTGTGTGTGTTCCTTGCATTGTAAGTGGGGAGGGTGCCGTGCTGAGACACCTCAGGAGAGGATGGAAGGAGCTCAGGACTGTCCAGGGGACATGTGTTCCTGGCAGAGGAAATGATAGGTTCCAAGTCCCTGGCATGGCCTAGGACACCCCAGCAGCATCAGCGCGACCAGAGCAGAGTGCCAGGTGGGAAGCCAGGGAAGTGCCAGAGCCCAGGTCCTGAGCCTGTGGGCCTGCTGTAGTGACCTTGGCTTTGGCTTTGAGTGTGACTGGAGTGTTGGTTTACCAAGCAAAGGAGCGATAGACGTGCTCTGGCTCTACTGAGAACAGATAGTGGGGGGCAAAGGCAGACACCTGGAGACCAGTGAGGAGGGGGCTACAGATTTCCACAGAGAAGAGGACGCCGGGCCCAGGGATGTAGGACAGAGGATGGGGTTCAATGTTTTGAAATGAGCACATTCAAAAGGCCTCTCTTTCTTATTTACAAAACCCCAAAGAGTGGAAGTAATCCATGTGTCCCCACCATATGAATAGGTAAACAAAATGTGGTATTATCTTGCCACTGTCTAGTTCCAGAACATTCTCATGCTCGCACACCCGTGAAGCAGTCACGCCTCAGTCCCCTTCTCCTAACTCCTGACAACCACTAAGCTGTACAACTTTGCTTCTTCTGGACATTTCATATTACATGGAATTATATGCTATGTGGCATTTTTTAAAAAATATTTTATTTATTTATCTTTAGAGGGGAAGGGGAGGAGAGAAGGAAAGAAACATCAATGTATGGTTGCCTCTCATGAGTCCCCTGCTGGGAACTGGCCTGCAACCCAGGCATGTGCCCTGACTGGGAATCGAACCGCGATCATGTGGTTCGCAGGCCCATGCTCAATCCACTGAGCTATACCAGCCAGGGCGCTATGTGGTATTTTGTGACTGGCTTTTTTTACTTGGCATAATATTTTCAGGTGCATCCACATTACAGCATAAACCACTTTTTATGGCTGAATAATATTCATATGTGTGTACATATATTACATTTTACTTACCCATAAATAAATTTTTTGATCTATTTTTGGAGACTTTCTACCTTATGGCTATTGTGAATACTGCTGCTATCAACATTCATGAATAAGTTTGTGTTAGAACACCTATTTTAGACTATTTTGAGTCTGTTCCTAGGAGTGGAATTTCTGGGTCATATGGTAATTTGTTATTTAACTGACTGAGTAACTGGTTCCCCCTCTTCACCCAGCGCTGGTGTCCGGTGTGTACTCACGTCTGCAGAGGGCGCTCTGTGTGCCTCTCCCAACAGCCCAGCTGTTTATAACCCCACTGGGAACGAAGGTGAGTAAGGGCCTAGAACCAGAAGCCAGCTTCTCAAAGGCTTATTGTGTCATGTCTTTCATAACCAAACTTCCGGCCTGTACCGTTCTTCTGTAGCTATAAAGCACACAGATCCCAGGACCCTGAAATGCATTGGACCTGCTGGTTGGGCCCTTGGACATTTTCTGTTGGTTATTGACATGCCCAGAGGCATGTGAGGGGGACCCCCTGCAAAAACACCAGAATTTATGTCTAAAAAATTGTGTGTTTATCTTTACCTGTTTAAACTTCAGTCACCTTCAAAGCACTCTCTATGTGATGCAAAACACCCATCAAGATGTCTTTTTCCATTGCTCAAAACAGTTTTTGAACTTGTCGATTCTGATGCCTTTTAGTGCTTCTGCTGTTTTTTGGTCTCACTTCTTCCACATCAGCAAAATGTTTCCATTTAGGACTTTTTTCATCTGGGAAAACAACAAAAAAAAGTCACTTGGGGTGAGATCGGGTAGATGGGGAGGGTGGCGTATGGGGGTTGTGCGTTTTTTTTGGTCAAAAACTGCTGAGTGTTCAACTGTGGTGTGGGCGGGTGTGTTTGTAAATCACCCATCATGAAATGGGCAAATGCATTGAAGAAATCTCCAAAAAAAGTTTGCGGAAGCTGAATGCAGCCTCTCACACCACCACCAGCTGGTCCACTGATACAGATGGGCTCCTAGAACACTCACCTAGTGGGGAAGCCTGTACTACAAGGGGCCTGCCCTCTGGAAAATAATTCCAGGCTTTGGAGGGTTCCCTCTATAATGACAACTACTAAACAGTATGTTAAGAGGGAATTTTCATTTTTCTCTTCTCCTTATGCCCTAATAGTGACTTCCACAGGTAAAATAAATAACTAGGTTTTTACCCAGTTTTGTGTGTTTTATCGTTTAGATTATGCCTCCAGTCTCGGAACGTCATATGCAGCCATTCCAGCAAGGTCATTCACTCAGTCGAATCCCACCTTTCCGTCCGCTTCCCCGGGGACAAATGTAAGTACAGAAGCATTTTCTTCGAGTCATTGTCATCGTCGAGGCATTTGTACCACCTGCTCTGCCTGGGTGGTGCGTGCGGAGGAGCTGGGAAGAAGCTGGTGTCGCCGTGGCTTTGTGCAGTGCAGGAAATCATGTCCCCGGACAGAGGTCAGGGCTTGCCCAATTCAGTCCAGCAAGTTTTGAAACACACAGATAAAATGCTGACATTAATTTCTAAAATCAAAGGCATTCATAGACTTTCTGGCTTTCAACACAGGTTTAGAAAAAAATAAGTTTGAGTTTGTGCCTGTGTGTTTCTTAAGCTGTTGACCTTTGATTGAAGTGGACCATTTCCTGTGGGCAGGTACTTGTGAAACTGGAATGTGTCTGAAAGTAATGACCTTGCACCAGTGGTATTTGTCGGCCCCTTGGGGAAATGGCTGCTTCTGTGTAATAGTTTGTTTTTAGTTGTGTTTGTAGTCCCCTCTCTCTCCTACATGCTCTAAAGTCCATCCCTCCTTTTCCACCAGTCAGGACGAGACAACGGTTTTCCTCTCTCTGTTTTCCCGCTGCGCGTGGCCTTGTCCCCCGCAGGAGCTCGGTGACTTGCATTCCCTGAGAACACGTGGAAGCGGGTGGGAGAGGCGGAACTGACTGTAAAACAGACTGCGTTTGCTAGAGGGCGTGTGTCTGTGTGTTGCGCCTGTGCCTGTATTTTTTCCCCCATTCAGACTAAGAGCAGCTGCAGCCTCTTTCTCTCCTCTCAGGCAGTGAGTGAGCACAGCTCGTGACAACAGGCCTCTGCGTGCTATCTCCTCCGTGTCCCATCCCCTCCACATGCCTGGCCAGGTGTTCCTATAAAACTTTTAAAGGGCAAGCTAAGCAGTGGAGGCTTTAGGCCCTCAAGGAGGAATGAGCGGGGAGGTGAGGAGGTTCATGACGGGGAGCGAGGCCTGCCTGGGCGAGATTCCTATTTGTCACTCTGTCGTTTGTGATGTTTCATGGGGGAAGGGTTTCAAAAGAGCCTCTGGCTGTGAGCCCAGGGTTCTGGAGAAGAAATTGGTGGTCTCCCTCTTCGTGCTGAGAGCCACGCCTGGTCAGGGCAGCTGTGGGTCGGTCCCAGGAGAGTGCACTGGCTGGGTCCAGTGAGCCCTGTCGTTGGTCTTTGATTACATGACCTTGTGTCCCAGTGGGAGTGCTGGCAGCTGTTTCTCCGTACTGTGGACCATGGGGGCATCTAGGTTCCCACACCCGCCTCTGAAACCCCAGCACTGAGGGGTAGGGGACTGTGACCCAGGTGAGGCAGGTTGGACTGTCACGTAGGTGGGCCAGAGGTCTGGGCACAGGAAGGAGCTGGTGTCGGGGGAGCCTCTTCTAACAGGGAGGGGGCTGAGGAGAAGCAAGGGCAGGACAGCTCTTCCTGTGTCGTGTGCCTCGGCCCCATCCTCCGGGACAGAGCAGTGAACCAGAGGCCCTTTCCTGTGGGTGTGGAGCCAGGAGCCCAAATTCAAGTTCCAGTCCTGGAGCCCGCCAGCTGCGTGGCCTCAGGCAAATCACTTTTCTGAGGCCGGTTTCCTTCATCAGGGACAGTGCTCCCCTAAGAATGACTATTGAAGGTGAAATAGAGGGCTGGTGTGACTGACTGTGTGACCATGCCTCGGTCTCAGAGCCTCATTTGTGCCCATCTGAGCGCAGTCTCATGATTCAGTGGTCCGAGCTGGAAGTGGAAGCAAGGCCCAGGGTAGACCAGAGTTGTCCTGCCCTGGTGAGGACCCGATGAGGCCAGGTGTGTGACAGCGAACTGTAAACCGTGCAGTGAGTAAGAAGTAGCCCGAGTTGAGTTCTGAGTCCTTTTAGCCTGAACCCTGTCCTAAGACTGGCCCCGTCTGCTGGCTGTGTGACTTCGGGCAGGTCTCCGCGTTCCTTGTGCTCTGATCTGCCCAGTGATCTCCGCCCCTGTGTCTGCTCCCCTGAGAGATTTGGGAGGCTCCCTCCCCTCACGTGCAGGGCAGGCGCGAGCCATCCGCTGCCCTGTGATAATTCGTGAGTACAGTTTCCTCCCAATGCCTAGAGCCCGGGAGGTCATCTGGCTCCAGTCTGAGAAGCAACACCCCAGGAACATTTTGCTCTCTGCACGGCAGGCCAGCAGGAAGGACAAGGAGAGCCACCGACACCGTGGGATGATTGCGATGGCAGACCTTCAGAAAGGGCTCAATGCATTTTTAGCATTTTTGATGCCTTAACTCAATCCTCCAGACAGCCCTGTGAGTGGGGGGGGAAACCGAGGTGTGGGGATACTAGGAGCTTTGCCTCAGGTCACATCACCGGCAAATGGAGGCCTTGGGATTTGAGCCCAGGCAGTCTGGCTCAAGACTCTGCACTTTTAACCACCAAGACCTATCCCTCTCTGAAAGTTTCTGAGTTCTCTTCCGTGCTGTGGTGATCTCTTGTAGTGCGCTCCCTCTGCTCCCCCTACTCCCACCCCACAAGCCCTTAGCAGGGTCTGAGACTCCCTTGAGGGTGCAGGCCCTGCCTGGGCCTCGCCAGCCAGCGGCCGTGGGGCAGCGTGCAGAGGCCAGGCAGACCCCGCTCCCGGGTTCCCCACCACCTTGACCATGTCTCCCAGGAGGAACTCAGAGGGTTGAAGGCATTTTCCACAGACCCAGTGGAAGGAGAGAGGCATCATTTGACTGGTTTTATTCTTATACGGCCTGTGAGGTCTTGCAGGTCACAGGAGCCTTCCCCAGGATATCTGGGGCACCAGGACCGAGCCCACCCAGGCATGTGCCATCAGTGGCTGGAGAGCCACACACTTCTGTGGGCTTCTGGTCCTGGTGTTGGCCATTTCTGGCCAATAGAATTGCATGTAGGTGTGTCTGTCTTTAGGGAAACCTGAAAGACAAAAATATGGTCATTTGAAGACACTCTGAGAAATGAAGGGTCAGTGAATCCACTCCTGAAAGATGATTTATGAGGCTCCTTTAAGTAGCAGGGGCATCTCTCAGAGAAATTACTGATTTTTTTTTTTTTTTGCCTACAAATTCTGACCTCCAAAGATAAGCAGACACGTCAGGGCAGGTACTCTGCTAACTTTGCCCAGTGAGCTCCTTGTGCATATTCATTTCTGCTGGGTTTTTCTGCTTACAAAGTTTATGCTTTTTGTGAAAATTCAAATGGAAAAGACGTATTTAATGAGCGATTGAAATTCCTCCATTACTTTCCCCTGTCCCACCCCCCGCCGCCACCCTGCAGCCCCCTTGAGAACCACAAAAGCTTTCTCGGGCTTCCCTCCAGAAGTGTCCCCCTGGTCCTGTGCCAGAGCTTTTCCCGTCTGATTCCACTTACGTACGTCTTTGCAGAAACACATTTGTCGAAGACCAGCCAGGACTCTGCTGTTGTAGGATCACTATTGTTTGTGCAGCAAAGAACAGTCGGCCCCTGCTTCTAAAGCTCCCCATTTCTGAGCAGAGCACAGTGACATGGGCCCTGGGAATGAGCCCGCAGAAGGTCTCTGAAGTGCCACCCAGTGTCAAATGATCACAAATCCCATCACCCACCTTCCCCAAGCCCAGGCTCGGCTGCTGCATTTACACTTGTCTCAGTTCTGTGCGAGTGCCGGCCTTTCATGTCCATGTACATCACTGACAGAGAAGGGGAGGGGAAGGGGGGCTGGGACTGACATAAATCACCCCACCCCCAACTCCAGGGTTCCAGGAGACTGTGTTGACTTTCACTGAAGCTCCCGCCACTTGACAGAGCAGTGGCACTTAGTCTTTGGCTGACAGTCGACATAAATAGAGTAATCAGGTTTCCTGCACGAGCCTTCAGGGCCTTCTCAGGCTGTAAATAGTGTTCCTGCACCTGTCCAAGACGGACTTGGCCTGCTGGCTGTCCCCATAAAACCGCCTGGAAGTTTTCACAGCCACCTTGGGGATTATTTAGTGCCAGCACCACAGATAGGCCTCCCTGGAATGGGGTGATACGCATTGTTTTTATGGTTTATTTCTCACCAGGACCCCCCGCACCGGAAAACTTGTATGAACAAGGAAATCGAGGCAAAGGGAAACATAAATGTTTGTGGAAGGCCTATGACTTAAAGTCTATCTGTCCTCTCTGGCCTTCTAGGCCCCTGGTTCAGAGCACCGTGGTCTCCTGACTTCCAGAGAGCATGAAGAGTAGCAGTTGCCCTGACAAATGATAACCAGTCCGTCTCTGCCATTGCTCCTGCCCCCCCAGTGGGGGCCACCTTGTACCTTTTCAAAGAAAGCAGAGAGCCAGGAAACAGGAGACCTGGGTGGGATTTGTTTTCTGTTTTTTTTTCCTTTTCTTTTGACAAATCTTAATGATGTTTTCATGTTGCAAAAGTAGTGCGGACACAGTGCAAAAAATCCAGATAGTAACAGGAATGTAAAAAATAGGAAACCCAACCCTGCAGATAAAACTGAAGGTAGGCGTCTTTTTCTCTAATTATGTGTTTCTAGCTGGTGGACACATGCATGTGCAGCTACTAAAAGTATGTGTTTTTGCAAAAATCAGGTAACACAATATAATATGTTGTACAACTGGGTTCTCCCCCCCCACTTAACTTAAGCTCACAGTACACGTTTAATTGATTTCTAGACATCTTTGTGCATCTGGACATAGAAGCCTATCTTATGTGTAACATCATCTATTGAAAGCACTTACCACAATTTATCAAGTTTGCAGTTGATTGATTTTTTCTCTGAGATCCGAGCTGTAATCACAAACCCCCCATGCCTTCATCGCCCATGGATTAAGCCCCTTAACTGCTTCCAGGCCTCAGTCTCACACACACAGTGATGGGTGTAGGCCAGCTGAGCCCCACTTTGAAGATTCTGTGACTCTAAAGTTTACATGTTGAACTGCCCCAAAACCCGTCAGCAAGCCTGGCACCAATGGAAGTAGATCTTCTCTAAGTCAAAGCTAATATGCTTTCTAAAATATTTGGAAGTGTCAATAAAGACATCTGTGTCTATCCTACAAGAGCCATAGCGGGG